ATGATATAAGTGAGTATCAAGAAAGGATTTCTAGAAATTCAACCCCTAGGAGGCTAAAATAGGGGGGTGAAATTTATATGGACCACGCAAATGGCAAGGCCGCTGGCGGAAAGCTGTAATAAACATTTTATTTTTAATATTCCATAAAAAAAAAATTAGATAACATCAATACATTATATGGCTCTGATCTTGACCCTGAATAGACAAAGCTCTTATAATAAGGAAACAATGAAGGTAACATTCGCAAATATGGTAGATGCAGTCATCCACCTCCTAATATTCACAATTCTTTCAGATGTAGAGGCCGTTCTGTGTGGCACTCAATTCTCTCTACATTCTAACGGATCAGATGTTAAATTATAAAATAGGATTATTATGATTTCGTTTAAACTACCTGAAGTATGGTGATGATTGTTTCAAGATTCTAAATAATTGTAATTGAAATAAATTTTCATAAAAGTCTATATCGTGATAAGCGGATGATACTCGACTACGAATTTTGTTAATTTTCCAGCATTTATGTTGTCATGGTGACTGACTAATCTGGGGTTGGTCGCCAGTTTTTATCAAAGCATCCATAACCAATTGATTCAAAGGTCCGCCACCGAGGCAGGAGTTCAAACCTTGTCATGTTTTATAGACTTGAATCCCCTCGTAACATGCGTAACAACTTACCACGACGGATTAACGGGAAAATTAATTAATGTTTATAAATAGGCAGGATTTATACATTTATGATGCTGCGAACATAAAAACATCTTAAAGCTTGCAATTGAAAATTCATTAGGGTCATGTGATCATCATTATCATCATCACCAGCCATTCATGTCCTCGCTGCTGGGGCTCATGTTTTCCCTATGGATAGAACCGAATCAAATCGAATAGGTAAAATGGGCCATGAACCACCAAGCGGGCCCAGTTCGGATTGGTGGGTGTTAATGACTGCAAATGTAACCGGGGCCAAACGGTTTAACGTGCCTTTCGAAGTACGAAGGAGCTAGTGATAATAAATTTTCGATCACCCATCTCAGGAGCGACCCTTGGAAAGTTGCTTAACAACGGTATCGCATACCAAGCGCGCTAACCACTGCGCCATCGAGTTTCGTATGTGCGTGAGATATTTGTTACTCTTTTTTATTTTTCAAATTATGGAAGCACCACCCTCACCTCTACGCTTAGAACCTTTTCGAACACAGAACGCCACGCCCGGTGTCCTCTGATTATCAATCTGATTTCTTTTGTCGTTTTCTATTTTCCAAAGATATAAACACCATGTACACACTCTTGCCCTAAATGATTCTAGCCATAAAATAAGCATATTCATTGATTTAGATTATAAAATGAATACCAGAGTCCTTAAAATCTCGTGAGCTTCAGTAAGTAATAGTTGTATGTATTGATTTAACCATCTGTTTTTTCAATATTTGTTTTCATCAAAATACCAGTATTATATTACTCTAAATTAACAAAAGGTGTCCTTTTTCAAATATCACGAGAACACCAAGGTTGAATATTCAATAAATTCTTAGCTTTTAATATACATTTTGAATGCATTTCTTATTTTGAAATTTATATACTTTAATCGACACTAAATATAATTCAATTTACAGAAAAAAATGCGGTTAACCACCAACCAAAGCAATTTAAAAGATACGTTGGAATTCAAGCCTAATTACGAACATCGCAGTGTCTCTAATCGAATGAATGTATTAATGGTAAATGATACAGCTTCGAAATTATAGGAAGAGATTGAAAAAGCGATTAAGGAAATGAAGCCTTAAATCAACTAGTCAGAGATGAAATTCGTGCGATGATAAGATCTGTTGAGTATTGTAAGCGTGCACTTATGCGACGTTACTATTGGTGTTGCGAAGGCAAATTTTATCGACCCGACAGACTCGTCCTGTCTTAATTATGAATATTGGAATCAAACAGTTTTTAAATCTTATTATAACCTCTACGTTATTTGCAGTACTCATTCGGTCAATTCTATGTCAAACGTCATAAGGTTACATTAAAAAAGTTTATATTATCCAAATCACTAAGGTGAGATTAAAACTAATTTTATATGGTGTTAAATATTCTTAAATTTTCAAATTTTCCACAAAAAAACCTTCTTTTGATTATAACAAATACAACAAAAAAGAATTAGCGAAATCGGCCGTTCACGTTTGATAACGTGACCAAGAGAAATAGAGATTTATCTATACTAATATTATAAAGCTGAACAGTTTGTTTGATTGTTTGTTTGAACGCGCTAATCTCAGAAACTACTGGTCCGAATTGAAACATTCTTTTTGTGTTGAATAGACCATTTATTGAGAAAGGCTTTAGGTTATATAACATCACGCTGCAACTATTAGGAGCGAAGAAATAATGGAAAACGCGGACGAAGTCGCTGGCGGCCACTAGTTTTTTATATACAGTGTATCTGTATATATTAATATTTGTCATCAAAAACGTATCAATCCATTTGTAATAAATTGAGCTTTTACAATTTTTATGGTATAGCTGCAGTTATGGACGTATTTTACTTTTTTTACATTATAAACTAGTTTAGAAGCACATAAATAATATAATTTATGACAAGGAATCTATGCGATGTAGAATCGAGTAACAATAGTAGCATCGCAGCGGTGGAATCGGCTGGCAGCTCAGTTATTACGATGATTGCGTGGTAGCAAATGATACCTGCGCCCGCGCATCCTACAGGCATTCCTCCCCGTTGCCTTTGTTGGGTTCCACCTCGATAAGTGACAGTCTGACTTAAAACAGTGTTGTAGTTCAGCCGTTTTATTAATGAAGTAATATGTTAATATTACATTTTTTACAGTGAGACCTGAATAAAAATAATTAATATATTTTTGTCGTATAGTTACCACAGAAACCACGACAGCTGGACAAGCTATCGTGTTACCTAACAACAGATACAGCCCCTTCTTAATGATTTGTTGATAATTACATCATTGGCATCAACAAATAATACAACCTTATTTAGTAGACAGTGTAATTTTAATTTACAACGTAGAAACGCCATTATCCGTTTATAATTTATGTCGTTCGCGCGTGATATAACTTCCCGTAGGTGAAAGAAATTTTAAAATCGATCAAGTAGTTTATTTTCTTTTCTGTAAACTATGGAAACAAACAAACAATCAAATATTAGTACATAGATAGACGTACGTGATGCATCTTCTTAAACTGCTACATACTTTGACTTGACTTTAACTATACTGTTTACATACTTTAGAAGTGTGCTTGAAGGGTTAAGATGAAAAATATGTCTAAACATGTAATTATCCATGCTTGAGAGTCAATTTGAAGTTATTTTAGAGCTATTTTTATTAATTCTATAAATAATGATCAAATCTTGTCTTAATAAATCGCTTTATCGATGCCACAGAAATAAGTTCTTATTCATAACGTCATATAAAAACCATTGTCGACTCTCGCGATTCTTAGCTTTCACAGCAATTAATTAAAATTGATTTTCTGTTATCACGAAACCTATCGTTCTGAGATTAAACGAAGAACATTAGAAAGTGAACACAGACTAGTGTTGACATATGACTTCCCTAGCTTCTGAAGTTATCTGTGGACCAATTAATATTCAACCTGATTAGCTCGAGCTTACTCTTCGTAGTTTATTCGATAAAGTGATGACACACATTTCATTTTAATGATCTTGCACTAAATCGGAGCAGCCGTTCTACAGTTAAATGGTCTTGCTTATATTAAATTTATTTGATTTGTCTGTTGAGTTAGGTTAGTTATAAACCTCAATATAATACGCACATCAACTTTACTCTTTAGTAAATGTAGTAGTAGTATTTAGTAAATGTAGAATTTTCATCTATCTTTATAGATGAAAATTCTATATTACGAAAATGAAAAAAATGTTATGATAATATACTTAATATTAATTTACAATTTGTGTTATATTCATTTTGGTTTTGAAAATTCACCTTAATGACGTAAAATAAAATATAAAACGTATTTAAATTTTCTATATGGTGGAAGTTTTACTGTAACTGTGACTTCATAGTCTAATCACGTCACTTCCCTAATTAGATTTCTTAATATGATATTACATATATACTGTTTTATTAAAAGGAAAAAAAAAGCAGCCCTTGCATGTTTTACTCAGTACAGGTCACCTGTCATAAATTTGGGATCTAATAGCGAAGCTTTCGACATTTACAAGTTTGTACATTCACAAGACTGAATAAATAGTTCTGAATTTGAATTTGTTTTTTTCTCCTCGTCTACATTTTTTATTTTTCTAATACTTCTATGAGAAGTCCAGCGATGGTATACAGCCTAACTCGACGTCAAGTTTTTATGTGATTAAGCGCTACGACAACACAGAGCTTTAATAAAAAAAAACTATATACTTAACTTCTTTATATAGATTGTTTTACCTTTTGAACTAAATACTATTTTTTTTAACTTAATGCCAATGATTGGATGGTGTGAAATGAACTTGAGTAATAATTAAGACGATATGTAGAATAGATAGATCGAAAGTAAAAGATTAGAGTTGAGGTAAATGAATAACGGCTTAATCGTCTGCTATTAGCAACTATTAAATACTGTTATATTGTATATTCAAAAGCATCATTTAAAAGTCAGAGTAGCCACTTTATTTTATCTTTTATAGGTTTATTTTATAGTAACTTACTTATAAGCCTTAAAGTAAAATTATAACTCATCAAGAGCGCCATAAGTTTGCAGCATCGATTAACGCTTAGTACTTTCAATCTGCCTCTAATTAAAGCTCGCTAAATTTACGGCGGTACGTGCCAATAGCGTGACATATTTGCCTTAAAACCCGTTTCAATTAATAGCTTACATGTAACAGCAAGTAAAATTTGAATAGCCCTAGTAAAGGGGTGGTTTTGTGTGTATACCTGTCCTCGTCGCCCGTGTAAGTAATATAATATGCGGTCCCGCTTTCGGAGGCTTTACGCTCATCGCGGTTGGCTGCCTCCGTGTCAGTCAGTTGCGCATAAGCAGCCGCGGCAAGTGAGTGTGTTCAAATTTAGAACGGATTTCGCGCGGTTTGGTTTCTTTCAAAAGTTTTTAGAAGACGTGTTCTAATTTCAAATGATATCATTGTTCTGTGTGCAAAAGGCCGGTAGATGATACGAAATGTGTGTTGAAAAAACACAGTGCCAGTGTGTTCGCACGCATGTCGCGTGAGCCGAAGTGATGTGCACTTTTTGTTTTGTGTAGAAAGTGATTTCATCACAAAGGATTACAGTGATTAATATTGTTGGAAAACACACATGAGAATATCGACTTTGTATTGGTAAATGAAAAGATAATATTTTAATTTAACTCTCGCGATGAGATTGCAATACGATTAGCATATTGTTTAGCATTTTAATTCGTGTTGACCCTTTCTCGACGTACAGGTGTAGGTACCGCAAGGTGGTTCTTTTATAATTTCGGTCCGATGTTATACCATCTTGAATAATAGCTACTGGCTATTTAGTAATTGCTCGTATCCTTAGTATATATGTAATTACAACTAGTCGATTTGGTTTAAAAATGTTATCTTTAATAGCTACTTTAATTATATGGTTCAGAGTTTCGTTCTTGAGCTTTTTTCTATTAGAGCTACTATGTGATCTAAGTTGTAACATATGCAAGGTCAAACTGAAGTGAGAGACAATCAATTCGATCTCAGTACGCCGCCTTCTTAAGTTTAATGTATCTTTCGTAAGGATTTATGATTAATTGATGTGTTGGCTTGAAAAATGAATCCTTTATCTCGTAAATAAATATTAGATTCATGCAAAATAAGACACCTAAACATATTCGCTCGTTGCAAATCCAACGTGAACTTTTCAGTTCGATCCGGTTTTTACAAAAAATCCAATGGCCTAGTCAAAAATTATAGCCAATGCAGTCTAATATTGATTCCGTGGTCGAACTCTTGGATCGTGTAGTTTGAAATTTCAACCACTGAGCATTAGCTTTCACCATGGAGTTTCAATCAATCGTAATCAATCCCAGGCCGGCCCCTTTAAAGTGGTCGGAGCGGCGTTATCTCACCATCATAACAATCTGTCTTGTTCCACCAGCAGTTGACAGACGGAGAAATAACTGTTTATCTAGAACAAATATCAATCAACGTTTATGCTGTTTTGATCATTACTTGCTCGACTCAACTGCAGAATGCATTATATAGCATTCTATCAAAAGATAGTGACAATTATAAAAAACGCACTGCTTAAAAAGTAGAATAAAAAAAAGCTATAGTTAAAATCAATAGTCGTTTACTACTATTCTGTAATAAAATCATCCACGAACTCGACATCGACAACGCTTTCACAGCATACAAGTGCAGTCAGATAAAAAATACTTCTCAAATTATTTCATTGAACCTCTAATATTTTAATATCTCGAAATGTATAGCTCCAGATCAGTCGGAACGTAATATATTTATCACGTTAGTAGTTGGTTTTTTATCACCTTGTTTTCAACAGAGGCGACAATATCTTATAAGAATCCATGCATATATTTCTCTTAAAAATACTTCAATATTGTTAGGTATACACAAAGGCACTGGTTGCTATCTTGACTTGATAAATTAAACCTCGTATATTGGATACGAAAGCCGGACTACAGCCAGAAAACTTGACGAAATTCTCTTCTAACTATTCGACCGAAGACCTAAAGAAACTGTAAAATATAATTATACGTAATCGGGTCTTGTTCGTGCATTTTTTTTAAACTAATAATTTACCTCGACGTTTCGGCTACGTTACAGTAGCCGTGGTGACGAGGAGACTGGAGAACTGGCGGGTGTCGTCTTCTGATTTTACAACTAAAATCTCCAGTCTCCTTCATGGACAACGGGCGTGAGGTAAAAAAAAACATATCACACTCCAAAGGTTCCAAGATGAGTAGCTAAAGCTAAAGTAAGATTGACATTAGGCAATAACGTTGAATGATGCCCTAAATCTACAAAACAGATAAACCATAATTACTGTAAAACATGTATACATTTTATTTCTTATGAATAAATAATTTGATTTTAATAATAATATTATCTAAAATATTCCATGAAGGACAAACCCCTCGTATATTTCTAGAAAAATAATAACTGATCCTTTTTGAAGAATAGAAACTACTGAATTAATACACTTAGTCATTTAAAAGGAAAGTTACAAACAATTACTGTTGAGGATTTCAAGAGAATGATGTCGATTGTGAACTTGCCAGATACTGTACAATAAAAATATGTATTTATTCTTTTACCCGACGTTTCATGCCGGAACGTTTCTAGTATAGTTTAGCCAGAATATGTATTTTATTATTAATAACTTTCTCGTTAAATTGGAGAAAACTGCGGCTTCCCGCTGCTTTCTTCATTTTCCGGTTTATAATTTGCCTTCACGTCTGTAAGGTATGTGTGACTGATATTAATAGCACATCAACTTGTCACCTTATTGCATAGGAGTGTTTACCTCTGGTAGTACTTTGTGGAAGCGGAACGTCGAAGTTTTACGATAATTTGCTCAATCCTGTTATGTCCTGGGCAACTTAGTGATAAGATCAGTCGCTCGGATTGCGAAAGTTATAGGTTCGAGTCCCATCACAGAGTGCCAGAGACAAAGTGGATTTTATCAGCATTTTTCGTTAATAACATCATTGATTGATTTTTTTTAATATTTTTTAAAAGCACTTGCTTTTAATATATGTTTTTTAATATGATTAAAAATTTGAATAAATTTATCGATTAAATTAAATTTATAACGATTAGATTAAATTAATAACGAATACTATATAAAGATTATCAATGCTCCTTAGAACAAGTAACAAGAATAATAATACATAATTCTCTCTGTCATTAAATTGTCTGGATTTTTAATGAAACAATTTGCGGATAACATCTCTAGCTGCAGAACTTGACTCACGCATAGTGATGTGTCATATGCAATTTTATATGTATACCTATTTCTTGGTAATGAAAGGTCTTTTTTCTCTTTATAACATTTTATTACCTATAAATAACAAATTTTGAAGATCTCAAAAGATAATCGATCTTATCTTCATGTTGACAGCTTTCCGTAAGATAAGTATTTCATATCTCAAATGATTCGTATGATATTTTAAAAATGTATAAAAATGAAAAATCCAACAAGAAATTTTATTTAATGAATAAAAATATGTAGCGTATACCTACATACAAAAGACCCAATTCCACTGCTCACAAGCTAACTTTAACTTGAATGTTTATAAAATATTTTGTGAATATGAGATTAAAATTAGATAAAATAAAACAGATAAGTTTAAATATTGTCAATAGGGTATTTGACAACGTTAATAATATAGTATGAATTGTGGTCATCCTATAAGATAACGGCGTAATAAATAACACATATATCACTTGATTTTAAACTAAATAATGTATATTTTTTTGTAGATTACAAAAAATAAAATAAATTATTTTTAGACAATTTTTCTGAGAAGAAAAATCCTTGTAAGTGATTGCAACTTCGATGACGTCACACGCTAGTAAATATGGTTTCCTGTTGATGATTTTAGTATAATGTGGTTTGCTTATTTACCAGCATGTATATGTGGTGTAATGGCGGCATATGATAGACACAGCGGCTATCGCACGATTTCGGAAATTTAAATTTAAACTTTGATTTTTATTAATAAATACAGTAAATTTTCCCGAAATGTTAAATATACCTTCATCGAGAAAAATCGGATATATTTCAATCTTTTGTTTCAAATCCAGTACATCCCTATCTGTAGAACTACTGTAGGCTGTTATGTTCAGATCATGCGGCTTTACAATTCCCAAAAGAAAAACGCAAGTTCTGCTAATAAATATTTGTCGCGAACCACATTGATTGGATTCAATTTTTATCGTTATATTTCTTCTTGTAATGGTTAACAGTTAATGTTGTTTACGGCGAGGTTCTCGGTCATAAATTGTGAACGCTTGAGTTTAATTTTGCCTTTTCTCTTAAAATGTTAATTATGCTAACTTATTAGCTCCTAAATTATTTAGTGGAATCATTCATATTTAATTTAAGTTTATTTTTTTATTTATTCCTGTTTAAGTGACTGAATTCGTATTCATACTTTTTATTAGATACCAAATACCGTAATTTTTTTGATTTTCACTTTATCTCCTTGGCTCGTGATAGAAATCCATCCATATATGTGGCGTACATTTATCTGTTTGCCCGTTAATGTCACTATCGGTTGAGTAAACCTCTGACGACAGTCGTGAGTTTTTTACCATTATTTTATGGACATTATTCCTATTGCTGTACATTATCAGATTGTTTTTGCACCAATAAATTCTATTGTTATATATGGAAGGGAATTACATTAATAATACTTATAAATATAAATCAATTGACTTTTACCTATAGGCAAAAGAAATCATATTGAAAAATATAAAACAAATTAACAAATAAAAAGTCATTTTTAAGAGTGCATATATATTTTTAATTTTTTTTTATTTATTTTATTTGGAGTTTTACACGACAGTAATAGTTACGAATCAAATAGCAAATAGTTCTTTTGAAATAGTCATGTGACTATAATTAAAAATTCAGCGAAAATTTCTAAAGGCTTATTAAGAAAAGCTTTTTGGAAGTAGTATCCCTTATGGGATTTAAATAATGACTGATTTTTTGGTTAAAATTTCAAGCATTGATTTAATACATTTATATAAAGAAGTAGCTTTCGCCGGTGGCTTCGTTACTGTGGTCCTGTATTATACATGATTATACATATAAATAAACCTTTCTCTTAAATTATCAAGTATAGATGAAAACTGCATTAAAATCCATTGTATAGTTTGAAAGAACTTAGCGTACAGACAGCGGGAAGTGACTTTTATACTATGTACACATACCTCATTCACGATTAAAATGATTATTCAGAGTTTGAATTACAGGTTTAAAGGTTTTATGAAAATTCATTGAAATTTTAATATTTGGTATTTTTAGGAATCTTTTGGCTTAATTATATTATTGTGTTGTATTTATAATTATTGTTTCATAGAGATATTGAAAAAGATGTGTTTTAATTTTATAAAGATTATTTACTGTTTAGATCACTAAGTAAATTTCTATATGAGTATGTACCTACATACATTAAACTCGTCTCATACTCAATTAAGTTGGTCCAACTTTAAATTATCCATTCAAACAGGCGCCAAGTGTACCTTATTAAGTTCTTTCCACTTGAGGCTCGTATAAATCAATGCCACCCTAGGCCTATGGAGCTATCATCTATTCACATGGAACCTGTTAGCAAATTGCCTGGACC